TCTAAACTTATAATTCTCTATCACCGCGAATATTTCATGACGCAAGAATGATTATATTGGGATAAAATTTCAATCATTCATATATTCATTGATTTTAGTAATTAGATTTCTATCTTTATGCTTTTTTGTTTTGTAGTTAAGATGTTTTGAGTAAAAATGTTGAAAGTTATATATTTTAATCAAAATTTCCCTCTAAATACTTTCATGTATCACTTTTGATTACATGAATACATTTAAAAAATTGTTGAAAAATAATTATATATATAATTTTTATGTATCGATGATCCTTCTAGAAGAGTAGATGTACTAAAGCTAACCTATATTAAGAAAGATGGAGATATGCCTAAAATGACTAAGTTAAAAAGTATTTAAAAATAATTTTTTGTTAGATTTAAATGATATTTGACTATTAATACGATAGAATTGAGAGAAAAAAAGATTCTTACAGCCAACCCCATGTTGTGGGACAAAGCTTGTTGTTGATGTATTTTTATAAATTGATTATATTATACAACTTTTTGAGTTTAAAATATAATAATTCTTATTTTTTAATTTGATAATACTTAGGTGCAAATAATTCTTAAAATAATTTTACTTTTGTAATTTTGCCTTCTTAAATAATAATGTAAGAATACATAAGATTGAAAATTTATATTAAAAAGTTAATACTAAATTATAAATTAATAAATGAATATAATAGTAACAACATCAACATCAAACCTTTATCCCATTAAGTAGGGTTGGCTACATGAATCCTATTTCTCCGTTATGTCTTATTAAGGAGAAATTATTCAGTGCGGAGTTTGGACGTAGCTCTACATCCAGACTCCAATTTGTGGTCGACAAGTATTTGTTGGGTTAATTTATTTTGTCTAGTCACCTGGATTTTCTTACTAATGCATGACCCGATGACTCAGCCCGATCATGAGGTAATATTTTTGAAAAAAGAAAGCCAATGCATCTCATTCAATTCTGAAATCGATCGAACAAAAGTTTTAGGGTTTGTGATTGGAAGGTCATTTTTCATCGTCAAACAAGGAACGTTCTATTCACAAACCACACTTTATCTTCAAGAAAGCAAGCTCTATCCTTCATGTTTACTGTTTATGATTTATTATAAGCATCAAATTAAGTTTATACTTCTTTTTATTTCATGTAATTTTAAATTTATGCACCATTTCTATTTATCAATTATTTTAATATTGGGTTTTTTGTAACTGGAGAAGTTATTTTGTGTGGAGTCTGGACGTAGAGTTTTCATACACCCAGTTTTATGATCTTCTGTATTACAATTGACCAAACATTTATTGTTTTGACTTCGCAGAATAATTTTTTGTTTGTAATTTTGCTTGTTTAGTTTATGTATAAGGTAGTGATGTGTATAAGCACTAATACACACTGTGTACAATACTTGAACACAATATGCACAAGTGCTTGTACTTATTGTGTACAAGCTCTTCTATACACTTTGTATAAGATTATAATTAGCATAATGATGATAGCGAGAAATATTAAAAGATTTACAACATCAACAACATCAAGCCTTTATCCCACTATGTAGGGTCAGCTACATGAATCCTTTTTCTCTATTGTGTCATATTAAAGGTCAAATTCTCGTTTAAATCTAATAAGGAAATGTCATTCATAACATTTTTTAACCATGTCTTTTTAGGCCTACCTCTACCTTTCTTAACATAAGTCAAATCTAATACCTCTACTCTCCTAACCGGGTCATTAGAAGGCCGCAGTTTTATGACCAAACCATCTAAGGCGAGTCTCTTTAATCTTATCTTCTACTAGAGCTACTCGAACCTTTTCACGTATAAGCTCATTTAGTATCCTATCTCTAAGGGTAAAGCCACTCATCCACCTGAGCATCCTCATCTTTGCCACACTTAACTTAGTATCATGCTTCTCTTTTAATGGCCAACATTCTGCACCATAAGGCATGTCGAGTCTGGCGTGCCCGTGCATCGCATATTGCTTTTTTAGATTCCTTACGAGCCTTTTTATATCTTTCCCAATTATCAAAATTTTTAAAATTAAACAAATTTTTATAACAAATATTCTTATTCTTAATCTTTTCATGCACATTTGGATTCCACCACTAACTATTTTTACTATTAGGAGCTTTTCCTTTTGATACTCAAATCATATCTTTTGTAATATTCTTAATATCACTAGCCACTTTTTCCCACATAATATTATCATCCTCATGTACAGATAAAATCTTAAGACCTAAAATCTTACTCTCAAAAATATTTTTGTTAATATTTTTTAAATACCCCCATCTAATCCTAGAATATCATTTAACTTTATTTTTTATTATTCGCCCCTTTTATCTTAAACTCCAAAACTAATAATCGATGTTGGGTACATAAATTTTTACTCGGAATAACTTTACAATCTTTGCAATCTAAACGATCTAATTTTCTTATAAGAAAATAGTCAATCTTGGTTGTACTATATCCATTTTTATAAGTGATAAAATGCTTATTCCTTTTCTTAAATAAGGTATTAGTAATTGAAAAATCATAAGGTAAACAAAATTATAATATGGTCTTACCACATTCATTTGTTGTTCCAAAACTATAGCCACCCTGAATGTTTTTAAAATCATCTACATCTCTACTAACATGTCCATTTAAATCTCCTCTAATAAAACCTCTTTATTCTAGAAGTATCTTTTATAATAATTCTTCTAAGTCATTCAAAAAATTTAATTTAGAACTCATATCCAAACCTACTTGAGGAGTATAAATACTTCTAATATTAACAACAATCTTTAAAGCTATAATTCTATCTCCAATCCTATTAATTTTTATAACATTATACTTCAAATTAACTCTTACTATAATAACACCTACATCATTTCTAATACGATTCCTACCCGAATAACACTCCGTTGCCAGGTCCCAAGTCCTGGATGAGAAAAGTGGACGGTTACGTTAGGTAGTCGACAACCAGGATAAAACTTGTCGAATAATAATGACATGAATCCTTTAAGAAATTATATTAATGCTAGGGCATCCCCTGAAAGCGATGCGCTGTATGGCCTAAATATAGTGACAAGTGTACAAGGGTCGCTGCACTAGCACCCGAGTGCAGTTTTAAATAGGCAAGGGTTCCTACATTAAGGACAGATGTGGGCAAAGAAGCTAGTCCTATATTAAAAAATTTAAAAAAAAAAAAAAATCAAAGAATGCATTTGATAATGAGAAAAAAAAATATCAATGATGATTTTAAAAATAACAAATGTTGAATTAAATATAAAGGTTTACTTTGTTGAGTTATTAATATGTTGTTTTATTTTATATTATATTGAATCTAAGATTAATAAATATAGTGAGAAAAAAATATTTTACAAGCTTGCACATTTTATGTATAAGGGAAATATAAACCACTTGTAAATTGTGTTCACAAGCTTTTATCATCAATTTAAACATTATGTACAACTATATACACATGTATTACTAAATAAATAGCATTTAATCTTCTAAAGTTTTTTTATAAGGCAAATTAATAAATATTTTAAACTTTTTTTGGTTGCAGATGTACATCTCAAATATTAATTTCCGTTGCAGACCCTCAACATTTAGATATGTCTATGACTCTTTAAAAGGGATATTACGTGATGATGTGGAGGACATTTTGAATACGTTAAACAAATTTCAATTTATGGAGTTGCCTCCATTTCAATAAAATACACCTCTCATCTATATGCTGACATCATGTTGGGATATTTCCAAGTAAGCATTCATAATCAAAAGACATTAGCTAAGATTTATACTAGAGAAGTGGCTCTAATGATTGGTTTGCCAAATAGGGGTGATTTGATATGTTAGAAATCTAAGCCACTAACAAAATATGCTGGAATTGAAATTAAAAATGAAATAAAGAATATTGATAAATAAACCCCCTGCCATTTTGAATGTAGTTATAAGCATATCTCTTAGAGAATCCAACATTCTCGATACCTTCAACTTTATTTGTAAGGTAGAAAAAAGCATATACGGTTCTAATTATGGCTTATGTCATTGTTTTAAGAACTAAAGTTTCCTCATCACTCATGTTCTTACATGATCTGAGTAGATCTTTATCTTATGGCCTTGCGAATACTAAAACCAACATTATGTACATATCTACAGTACATCACGTATGCCTCCTTCTCACACTTGTAAACACTCCATAAGTGTGTATATAATATTTTGTAATATTTCTCTATGCACACAGTGCATAAATTGTACACAGTGTGCACACACTATGTATAAGATTATACACAGTGTGTGTAAGATCGTACATAATTTGAACAATAATCTTTTATACAATACGTATAATCCTGCACATATTGTGTATAAGATTTTGGCACACACTTTATAGAATATTGTACACTATGTACAAGACTTGTACACATTGTGTACAACAACCTTGTATACATTGCGTACAAGACTTGTACACAATGTGTATAAGGTTGTTGTATACAATGTGTACAAAATTGTTGTATACATAATGTGCAACTTCATATATAATTTGTACGATCTCGTATATAGTGTAAAACAATGTAAACAATGTGTAGAAGATTATACATATTGTGTACAAGAGAATTAATACACATCTAATACATCTAATACTCTTATCCAAAACTTTAACCTATACTTCTTCTTTTCTTAATATAAGCACATCTAATACATTTACTATCTTAATCCGGTCAAGGGAAGAACAATGTTTCATATGACCAAATCATTAAAGGAGACTCTCTAATCTTATATGTCATTGAAGCAACTTCAAACTTTTCATGCATATACTAGTTTTGCATTATGTCTCTAAGAATAAAGTTACTCATCCACTTGAGCATCCTCATCGCTCCAACACTTAATTATATATTTCTCTTTTAATGGTCATTATTTTGGATCACAAAATAGTATAGGTCTCACCGCCGTGTCTGTGTGTGTATATATATATATATATATGTTTAATGCCCATTATATCGTTGTGGTGAAATTATAATTTCATTTGGAAGCCACGTCACTATATTCAGCCGCGTCATCGGCCGCCGGAGACGCGCACGTGCACCATCGACGATCAATCCGCTGCAGAGAAGCCACTGGAAATCCACGTCGGCATCGGGCCGAGGGAAGTGGCTTCACAAAAAGGGCCCCCGAGCTATCTCCCGATTCCCATTTTTCTCCCCGCCTTTCAATTTTTCTAGTCCGACTGCCGAAAGTAGGCTGGGGAAATAAGACTCGCGCTTATTGGTCTCCTTTGTTGTGCATAAACCCTAGTATTTACTCGGATTCATCGGTTGCTCAGTTCATCGAGTTGGTGCTCTTTGGTGGGATCTTTGATTCTGTGCCACCCCTCGAGGTAATCTTCCGTCGCTCCTTTGATGCATTCGATTCCGCTTATTTTCTCGATTTTTGGACGATTTTTTTTTTTTAATTTTTTTATTTCTTTCGGGGATTTTGGTTTGCATTCTATGGGATTTATGATTGTTGGGTTTTTGGTAGGGGATTAGTTATCGTATATCTTGAGCTGGATTTGAGTTTAGGCAAGTGTTTCTTCTTGGTGCTCTGGGTTGAAGTCGAGGGTTTGGTTCTCATGAGAATTGTTAGGGGGATGCAGAAATCGGCCTGTGGGGAGGAGATCGTGCAGGGTTGGAAAGATTTGTTCTGCAAAGGAATTGGCATCACAGCGCCCAAGGCGAGAACTCGTGATAAACCTGTGGGCTTTGTTTGGAATCTCTGATTTGCGTGAAGGGGCACGAAAGTGGAGAAATAAATAAAGGACGGCCTGGTGTTTCTGTAGAGCAGGATGACTCGAATATTGGTTCAGCGGGGCTCAGGGAGTTCTTCCACGAGCCAAAACCGCCCGTCTTCAAGTTCAGTTCCACCGCCTGTGCCACAGGGTGCATCAAACACTAAGGAGGAACAGGAAAAGGAGCAGACTCAGGATCCTAGTGGTTTGAACGACCTTATGCAGCATTGTGTTGGTATTGATGAGAAAGTCGCTAGTAGCAATGAGATTCCAACTGAAAGTTCTCAGGGAAGTAAGATTGAAGTTACGAACATTGAACAAATTGAGAACAAAAAACCTTATATTGAAGAATCTGTTGAGTCTGCTGTTAGAGTAAGAGTTTCTGGCGGGCTTCATTTATCTGAGAAGTTGGAACGTGATGATTCTGTTTCTGTGGGTGTTGGGCCATCGCAAATGCTCATTGGTGGGTCTAATCCCCCTCCTCCTCCTGTCCCACCTCCAAAGCCATCGTCATCAAATACGGGATCAAGAAGATTAGGGCTTGGGTTTTCTAATGCAGTGACTATTGGTTCTAGAAGACAAGTGGCACGTCCTGTGGTTTCTACATGGTCATCAGCTTCAGGCTCCTTGCCTTCTTCTCCTAGATCATATGTGGATGGTGAAGGGTACAATAGTGCAGATGAACAGGGTCCTTGTTTTTCCTCCCCTTATAATGATGTGGTATGGTCTATTCATTTGCATTATTATTCACTTCAATTCCATATTTTGTTGAAACTTTTAATTTGTTTTATTCGCACAAGTTGTAATCTTAGTGTATTTGGTTTTCTATTCCAGTTAAGTTATTTTCCTTGCTACATGTAGAATTTATCTTTACTTCACAAAGTAAAAGCATGATGGTCCAATTTTTCACACTGTTTGTTAATTTTGAAAAATCTTAAACCAAGAACAATATATCTGTTTCGAGGCATATCTTTCATAGCCACTAAATGTATGCATATTTATTTAAATGGTTATCTTAATTCTTTTCTCGAATTGGAGATCAGTTGCATAAAGCTTGTTAATCTTTGCAAAACCAGCCCTGCCCCCTCTAAAAATAAAAGAAATGAAAAAGAGGAAATAAGGAAAAACATGAAAAAGGGCAGTTTTGTTAATTTTATTCTTGCATGTTAAATTCCTGAAATAATCACCATTTTTTGCAATCATCATCCATAGATGAAGTAAAGATATAAGTTTTAGCGCTATACATTTTTTTTAGGCAGTGAACCTTCTTAATATTGCTCATTACTTATGGTTATCTATTACATGAATTCAATTTCCTTTTGAAGAATTTTTAAAAACATGAATGCTTTGCTGTCACAGTAAATCAAACACTATGGCGAAAATTTGAACGCACATGTGCTTTAGGTTGCCATGTTGGACACACTATTTGGAATGACTAAGAAGAATTAACATAAAGTATACATCTGGGAAGAAAAAATTTTGTTGATGAAGATTTAAATGAATATGTTGGTAGAGTGATAGAAGATTTTAAAAGCTTTTATGGTGGCTATGAGTTTGAAGCAACTAATGAAGTGGTAGGGTTATATTTGATTTTGCTCTTGCTTATGATTTTGTAATTGCTAATATCTTATTTAAGCAAAGAAATGAACATTTCATCACTTATAAGAATAGATATAGTAAAATTCAAATTGATTATTTTTTTTATAAAAAAAAAATATCGTTTCGATTGTAAGGATTGTAAAAGTATTATGAGTGCAAGTTTATGCACCCAATATCGCTTAATAGTTTTGGACTTTAAGATGAAGGGATGAAATATAAAAAATGATGTAAAATATTATCTTAAGATTAGATGAGGGTCTTCAAAGAATGCTAACAAAAATATTTTTAAAAATAAGATTCAAGACTTTAAGATTTGATTGTGTATGAAAAATGGTAATTTTATGTAAGAAAAAATTGCTAGTGATATTAAAAATATTATAAAATATGTGTTTGGAGTATCAAAAAGAAAATCTCATAATAGTAAAAATAGTTGGTGGTTGATTCAAAATATGCAAGATAAAAAATAATAAGTTTTTTAATAAAAATTAGTTTTGATGTAAAAGCTCATGAGATATAGAGAAACCCATAAAGATTTTAAGAAAGTAATATGTGATTCAAAGATTTTAGCTTTTAATGATCTATATAATAGATTATATATTAAAGAGAGTGAAATATGTATGTTTAAGTCAGCCAAGCAAAGAGATAGAATAAGTGTTTATTTCATGCAAAATTCATTAAGGATGAAGATAATTTTTTTTTGAAGAGGATATTCAACATAGGTGCATAAGATATTTCGATAAGCTTTTTAATAAAGATTGTGAGAATACGATTGACTTTAGTGACCTTTGCACCCTAAATGAAAATAGAGATTTTTGTTTTTGTCATCATATTAATAAAGCCGAAGTTAAAGAGGATTTAAAGAAAATAAGGTATAGTAAAGCTATTGGACATGACGATATCCCAATAAATGTATAGAAATTCCTAGGAGATGAAGAAATTTCTTGATTTATTAAACTTTTTAATTTTATTGTGAAGAGTAAAAAGATGTCAGATGAGTGATGGAGTGCTTTGATTCCTATGCATAAAAATGTGCGAATTATAGAGCAATTTAATGTGTCATACATTAAAATTAATGGAGAGTTATTGAGCGTAGGTTACAATGTGATATTAATGTTTCTCAAAATCAATTTAGATTTATGCTAGGTAGGTCTACTATGAAAGCTATACATTTATTGAGAGGTTTGATGGAGAAGTATAAAGAGAATAAGGAGGGTTTGCATATGATATTTATTAATTTAAAGAAAACCTATGATACAATTCCAAGAGATGTGCTTTTTATAGTTCTAGAAAAGAAAGTAGTTAATAATGCTTATATTCAAGTCATTATGAATATATATGCTGGAGTTGTTACTTGCGTTAAAACACAAGGTGGTTTGACCAAGTATTTTTCAATTTAAGTTGGATTTAATCAGTGACAAGCCTTAAGCCCATATCTTTTTGCTTTAGTCATTGATGTTCTTACTAGACATTTTCAAGAGGATGTACCTAGTGTATGATTTTGCTGATGATATTCTTCTTGTTGATAAGACTAGAGATGGAGTTGAGATCAATCTTAGAGTCTAAAGGTTTTTGTTTGAGTAGATCTAAAACCGAAAAAATGAAGTGTAATTTTAGTATTAATAGATATAGTGGGGGGATTGTGACGATGGACGATCAAATAATTAAAAATAGTGCACATTTTAGATATCTCGAGTCTATTATTCTAAGTGATGGTGAAATAGATGGAGACAATATTAGTAGAATTCAAGTTGAATGGTTGAAGTTGAGGAATGCATTGGCTTGTTGTGTGGTAGAAAAGTACGCCTCAAACTTAAGGGAAAAATCTATAAGATGGTGGTGAGACTTGCGATGCTTTATAGTGCAGAATGTTGGCCATTAAAAGAGAAGCATAAAATTAAGTAAAGTGTTGCAGATGAGGACGCTCAGGTGGATGAGTGGCTTTACTCTTAGAGACAAAATGCGAAACATGTATATACATGAAAAGGTTGGAGTAGCTCTAGTGGCAGATAAGATTAGAGAGTTTCCTTAGATGGTTTGACCATATAAAACGTCATTCTTTTGACGACCTGATTAGGAGAGTAGATGTATTAGATTTGACCCATATTAAGAAAAGCAGAGGGTAAACCTAAAAAGACTTGCTTAGAAAGTATTAAAATGACCTTTTTTTTATTTGATTTAAATGAGAAGTTGACCCTTCACAAGTCATAATGCAAAAAAGGATTCCCGTAACTGACCCCACGTAGTAGGATTAAGGCTTAATATTATAGTTGTTGTTAAATACTTTTGATTCATTGTAGGCATTTTAGACATGGGGTGGCCATGTATGGGCCAAAAATTGTACATAATCTAATGCTAGCACAATCTATTTATTTTTCGAGTAACCTTAATTTTACTCTCTTGCACAAATTCTTTCTTTTTATCACTTTATCTTGGTATATTTATAAATAAACTTGCTAAATTTATAAGTTTTGTGCCTGTAAGTACTAGCGTAAGTTTTGTCCCTTTCCAATCAGCCCTAGGAGTAGCTGGCGAAGCCTTTGATTGCATCTTGATCAATGTTTTCATCATGCCTTCCATGTTTCCAAAACCGATTTCCATGGAGGAAAACCTTCCCTCCAGTCCTGAAAATCTTTACTCCATCCTAGAATGTTTCTCCTGCATCTCGATCCTAAGTTGTTCCATCTCACTTTCCAAAGCGTCCATCTTCTTTACTGCCATTCACAAATTTTGGCCTCCAAACAACAAAAATCAGTAAGGTTGAAAAAATTCAGCCGAAATCAACAATAGGGACTTTAGCTTTCAGGCCAAGACACGGCTTTGATACCAATTTGATACGCCTTGGAGTTAAATTCAACAAGTAACATCAGGAAATTCATAGAAAAAAATAACAGATTTAGGAGGAATACTTGTCTGATTTTGATTAATAACTCAACAAGAAATAGAAGATACGAGCGATCTACAATTAGAGAGGTAGATTATCCCTCCCGATCAACCTAGACGCTGCCAGGAAGCCCTTACAGAAAAACTACAGCAGAAAAACTCAATCAAAACCTAACCCTAATACAAAATAATAATCCCTATATAAGCCTCTACTCTTCCCCCAATTTAGCCTTAAAAGATCTCCCTTGCCTTAATTAATTCCCTCTCTATTTTGAATTCAAATTTACTTCATTAATTCATTCTTTAATCATCCTCCTAGCATATGGTATAATTGGATTGCTCGGCCCCACAAGCGGGGCTGAAATTTCTAATGGTTCGCCCTCTGTAGCTGGTCTACCCCCTTGCTGCTGGGTCGGTTGCAGGACTGATCCTGCTGGACCGGACCGGTCTTAACAGATCATTAATACACATTGAAGTCTGTGATGATTGTTACATTTGTAAGGTAGAAGTTCTTCTACTGTGTATTATATTAAAATGATTGAGAGGTGAGAATTAGAAGTGCCCTCTGGGCATTTCCATATGATGTATATTCTAAGCAGTCTTCATACAGAAATTGTACTTCATGTTATCATCTATGATACATCTTTACCATCCATTCATATGCTTGTTCTCTTACCAAAAAATCCAATGATTCACTGTTTTTATGTTATTGACACAGTAAATGTTACTACACTTGATATTATATAGCATGATGCTAGATGATGTTGGAGATTTGTTTTTGGCCATGCTATAGCCCTGGAGTTTCTATATCGAATGTTGTGGTTTGGTATTGTGAAGAATCTGGGAGATGCCTGTCATGGGTAATGAATTTAAGAAAGCTGAGTTGCATGGATAATGATTTAGTGAATTTCTATATATACTTGGTTGAAGTTTGACTGATCTCATGATTTATTCAGTCTCACATGTTATAAAAGCTTTTATTATAATTGTGTAATTATCACGTTGAGTTTAATTGACTTAGCATTTTTTTTTTTAACATGAGCAATCATGTGGTGTTAACTATTTGAAAGAACAACTTTGCAGTGTATCTCCTTTTATTCCATTTTTATTGCACTGCTACTTGCTCTTTTAACGTTAATTGTGCTAGGATGCAGAATTTACATACATTCCTCTTACAGGAAAGGGAGCGACTCTTTGAAATTGAAATTAGGCGGGTGAAGGGTTTAGATGTTAAGAAGATGGCGGAAGACGGTAATTGCCTATTTCGAGCCGTTGCTGACCAAGTTTATGGTGATCCTGAAGTGTATGATTTAGCCCGGCAGATGTGCATTGATTACATGGTATTTGTAGACCTTTTTATTACTTTCAATTCAGAATGCTCTGTCCTTTATCCTAAAAGCCCTATGTGAAACTAGGTTTCTTGCTTACGCTTTAACAGAACAATAAAAAATATTTTGACATGATTGCATACTATATTTACTGCTTTAAGAGAACAATAAGAATTATTTTGACATGATTGCATGTTCAATTAACTGCTTTAAGAGAACAACAAGAATTATTTTGACCTGATGGCTCGTTCAATTAACTGCTTCTCCAAGTTGTAAGGTTTTACCAGATTGTTCTATTGTTCTTACTTTCTCAAAATGTTCTAATAACAGATTTCTTTTTAATTTATGGTTTGTGTATTTTTTTATAGAATAGTTAAGCTCTTCTATTTTGTGAGCTAGTTTTCTTTGGATTAATCAGATTGATTTCTTGAATCTTTTCTGCCTCTTTACTGATGTTCTAATATGTATAAATTTGTTACTTCTACTTTGATGTTTTTCTTTTCCAGATTCAATAAATAGTTCTACTAGTTGATATGTCTAGTTTCATGCCTCTTTAGGCAGTCTATATATATATATGTGTGTGTGTGTATGTACCCTTGATAAGTGCAGACCTGACGGATATGTTTCTCTTCTAGATGTGGGGGCATAATTCAATACTAGATAAGACAAGATGAAATAGTCCCATTGTATTATCTGAACTAGTTCTTCTGAATGATTTATTAGCCCATGCTTACTATTTGGTGCATTTAGGTTTTATTTGGCCTCTTGATGTATCTTTACAATTGAGTTTCCGTTGCAAAAGATGAAACGGTTCTATGTCCCCATTGGCCGCAAACCATCTTACAGTACTTGATATGCTTCTCTTCTAGATGTGGAGGCATAATTCAATACTAGTTATGTGCTCGTAATCTCTGTTGGCCATGGCAGGTACTGATAATAATCTTTTTCTTGTTGTAGGAAAGGGAAAGGGATCATTTCTCACAGTTCATAACGGAGGGCTTTACAGCATATTGCAAGAGGAAAAGGCGAGACAAGGTTTTTTTTTTCTCTTGTTTTTTTTATAAATATTTGTTGTGCATCCAAATTCATTTTGTTATGGCTTCAGTAACTTAGGGTATTTTGATTTTTAGGATACTTTTTCCCCGCTTTAGTCTTGTTGAGGGTTGATAATGGTTTACATGGAAGCAATAACAAATAATACTATTTTATTGTAAATATTATCATGTTCATTAATTTAACTGTGTAGTTTCTACAATTTTTCTAGTGGTGCTGCTCCGCTAGAAAATGTGGCGTCCATTCTTATTTAATTAGTTTTTGATGTGTTCTAAAATTATGCTGCCTTGGGCCTAGTCGTTTTTAATGGTCCTACCATAAATGCTATTTTTGTCACTAGTGATACTCTTATTTTCATATATTTGTCTTGCTATTGTATTCGTCACAAATTTCTAGATCAATTGCAATCCAATGTTATTGTGTTCTAAAATTACGCTACCTTTGGATCTAAGTTTTTGTCATGCAAACGTAGGATGAGATGCACAAAATAAGTACGGAAAAAAATTAAAAATTATAGCCACTATTGTTGTAGGATTTAACTCTTAATAGGACATAATGAAAAAAAAAACCCATATAACTGACCCCAGATAGTGAGATAAAAGCTTCTTCTTGTTGTTGTCATCACTCTTTGTACGGGAAAAAATATATTTTTTATATTGCAAATCAATATCCATATAGTTGATTACATCCCTTGTATGATACCTGAGCAAATGCTTGATTATAAATGTTTTTCTTGTATTCTGCATTATGCCTGTAATGAGGATAGTAGGGTCAGTTCAGGGTTTGGAATAGTCAAATGACTGAAAGGTCGCCTGGCAGGAAACTGCTGGAAATCTGATCAAATGAGATAGGATTAAGTAGAACGTACCCATGAAGTAAGGGAGATAGTACAATGGGATTCATAACAAAGAGGGATCAGATCTACAAACCTATGAACCTTCTTGATTCAGGCTTTTGCACGCAAGATTTCATGTATGCCATTAGGATTAGGTATCACATCCTATGAAGAGGACTGCCAAAGATCAGCCTTGGAGATGACCAATTGACTATGCATAGGGAATAAGACTTATTAGACTAATTCGTTTACTACATGAATATAAAGAATTCATGAGGTAAGGATTTTCGATAGGATTTTTTTAGAAAAGCTATTTGGGATTTGATTTTAAGATTTACAGTAAATCCAATTTCTTGTGGAGAGCAAAACATAATTTAGTGAAAATGGTTAATTTTTTGCAATTATCTGAGGATAAGAATATATAGAAAATCAATGAGCATGAGAACATAATTCATGGTCACAATCCTAATGGCGCTTATAATGTATGGGTTATTATTCATGTAATTATGAAAATTTTAGGATTTTTTGTAAAATTTAAAACAAAATGGATGGCAGCCTTCTGATGATTTTGGGATGAATGCAAGGAATTTATCATATTTAAAATACTTTTTTGTAGATTATAAACATCATGCCAATACAAAAGAAAAAATCTAGCAAATTTTTAGAATTTCCTACATTTAAGAGTAAATTTAAAGGCATATTACTTTATGAAAACATTAAAGTAGATATTAAGAAAGTAAAAAAGAATCTTAAACATTTCAAGATTTGTACCCTTAAAGCCTTGAAATATTCCCAGATTTTAATGAAATTTATTTGTTTTTTTTTAATAATTTTAAAAACATAACACCGCCATTGTCGGGTTGCAGGACTTGGATGAGGGAAGTGGAGTGTTGCGGTAGGTAGTCGACATCATTAAATTTATCAAACAATCATGATATGAATCCTTTTATGCATTGTGTTAATGCTAGGATATTTTTGGAAGCAATGTGTTGTATGAGCTGAATACAACAAAAAAGTATGCAAGGGATACTGCATTGGCCCCCAGGTGCAATGCTAAATAAACGAGGGTTCCTACCTCATGGACGGATGTTGGCAAAGAAGTTAGTTCATGAAAATAGACTTGGGATAGAAACTTGGAATATAAGTTATTTTACATGGAAATTAATGAAATTAGTAGATATTATGATTCATAGAAATATAAATATTCTACCTATTTAGGAAACTAAATAGGTTGAAAAAATACTAAGGAGATTGATAATTTAGGATTTAAACTTTGGTATTAAGGTAGAAGTTGTGTAGGTGTGATTATAAATAAGATTTTGAAGGATAATGTTGTAGAAATTAGTATAATTGGAGATAAAATTATAGCTTTAAAGATTTTTGTTGATGTTAAGATTATTAATGTTATATATGTTTATGCTCCTCAAGTAGATTTGGATGCGTTCAAAAATAAAATTTTGAAATAATTTAGAAGAATTAATACACATGATATCTCTTAAAAATAATTTTTATTAAAGGAAATTTTAAATGGATATGTTGGTAAAGTAGTAAAAGATTTTAAAATTATTCATAGTGGATATTAGTTCGGAGTAACTAATGTAGATGGTAGGATCATATTAGATTTTGTTTTAGCCTATAATTTTTTATTTAAGAAAAGATATGAGTATCTCATCACTTATAAGAATGGACATAGTAAAACTTTGATTAATTATTTTCTTATGAGAAAAATAAATCATTTATATTGTAAAGAATGTAAAGTCATTTCAAGTGAATGTTTATGTGCACAACATTTACTTATTAGTTTTGGACTTTAAGATTATTGTGTGCCAGACCATTCGCGGCAGCAGGGAGGTAGAGTGTTTAACATCCTAATTTTGTATGAAGATTCAACATATAGAGATAAATGAGAGGGTTATATCAATCATAAGAAACCAATATTTGTATGTGGAAAATCGTGAAAAGGGAAAAAATCACGGTGCCTTGCCCAGGTGAAACGATTTCGTTGATTTGAATACTGTTGGCAACGATCAAAGCCTGGTCCTCTTACTTAGGGTACCTGGCGGTAAGAGTTGAATGCTGTTGGCGGTGATCAAAGCCCCAATCCTCTTACGCAGGGTGCCTGTCAGCAAGAGTTAATTGTCGTTGGCGGCAATTAAAGCCCGATCCTCTTATGCAATAGTTGAATGTCGTTGGTAGTGATCAAAGTCTGGTCCTCTTACGCAGAGTGCCTGGTGGCATGAGTTGAATGCAATTGGCAGTGATCAAAGCTTGGGCGTGTGTCAATGATGGCAATTGGAGGGTGCACCGATGATTGCAGTCGGGCGAAGGGCCAATGATTGGTTGCTTGAAGGCAAAGGGTTGATTATGGTTGTTGAGAGGTAGGGGTCAACAGTGCCATGTGAAGGCCTAAGTCATCGGTGGTCAAGTTGCTTTCTATTGAAGGCAATATGCATTCACATTGATAAGGGTGGATGGCGGATAGTGGATAGCTCGACGGAGGGGTTCGGGTGGTGTGCTGATGACAACAGTTTAGTGGTGCACTATCGGTGCCAATTGAGTGGAGACCTGATGGTGATCAGGCTCTAATCTTTCCTTAAAGGATTTATGGAAGATGGTTCAAAATGCTGCATGAAAGAGGTCGATGAAATTTGGCAAGGATGTTTGACTTTTCCAAGGCTGTTTGTCAAAGCATTGCTTGATGATGTTAATCAATTAAGATGAATTCCTTAACGTTGTTAGACTTTTCCGAAGTTTTTTGTTAGAGTGTTGTTCGATGATGTTAACCTATATGGAAGAGGTTGAGGGAATCCACCAAGCATGTTTAACCTATATTAGATTATTTGCCAGAGCATTGCTTGATGACGTTAACCTGCTTGGAAGAGATCGAAGGAATCCACTAAGGATGTTTGACCTATCATAGATTGTTTTCAGAATGTTGCTCGATGATGTTAATCTATGTGGAAGAGTTCGAGGGAATCCACCAGTATGTTTAATCTATCTCAGATTGTTGTGAGAGCGTTGCTCTATGACATTAACCTGTATGAAAGATGTTTAATCGAATCTCCGTGGGGTCGATTATACCTTGACCGAGAGGGGACGAATGCTGCATGTATCCCAAATTTAAGGTGAAGATTGGTCTGTCTTTAGACTGTCACTGCCTTTTTGAGGTCGGGCCATGATCTTGACCAAGGAGTGGAAATCCAGCCGAGAACTGTATAGAGTTTAGGATTCACTTGAAGCCTTTGCTAATTTCTCTTATTTCTTGGAAGTTTTATGAGAGATGGTTGTCAACTATGATGCACCGACACTTCTCCTCAAAGAGGCGTGCAGTGTTCGACACCGTATCCGACACGACACTCGTCCGACATTCCTCCAACACGTGTCAGACACGCCGAACACGTGTCAGACACGCCGAACACGTGTCAGACACGCCGAAAACGTGTCCGATTAAAAAATATTAAATACAAGTTGGACACGCGTGTCCGACATGCGTATCTTAAATATTTTATGAATGTTTATAAATATAATTTCTTGTATTTGACGAGATTTAAACTAAATTTCTTATTTCCTATCCATAACACCAAATCAACGTCCGCAATTAATGCCCAATCATCGAATATTCTCATTTTCATTTCTTTTTGGCAGTGAAGGTATTTTCATCTCCTTTCTCAGCAACTAATAAATGGCACCAACACTTGACTCTCGACATCCTAATACTAATCATTTTAAGCACAAATTCTAGTTAAATGACTTATTATTTTTAAAATATTTTTAAAATTATACTTATTTATTTTTATACACTATTTTTTAAATATAAAAACAATAATACCATGTCCAACCCGTGTCCGTGTCCTATATTTTCAATAATTAACGTGTCCGTGTCGTGTCGTATCTGTGTCCGTGTCCGTGTCTGTGCATCATAGGTTGTCAATGATACTATTTTGGATGTTGAAAATATTGGAGGACCATGTTTTGCCTTAATAATGTTTGAGGTTACAGCCAAGGTTGCCCTAATCCAAATATGTTTCCTGTGAAATTAATGCACTAATGACTGATAGTTGGGAGGAGATAGAACAATGCATATTTGCTATTGCAGTGAGGTTCCCCCCAATATTGAAGGTCTTCTTTTAGACCTGATAATAGTTTG